CCAGCTATCCCACTTCTCAGTCTATATCCAAAGGACTTAAAAACAGCATACTACATGGACACAACCACATCARTGTTTATAGTAGCACAATTCACAATAGCTAAATGGTAGAACTAACCTAGATGCCCTTCAGTGGACGAATGGATAAAGAAACTGTGGTACATATACACAATGGAATATTACTCAGCATTAAAAGAGAATAAAATCATGGCATTTGCAGGTAAATGGATAGAGTTGTAGAATTAATGCTAAGTGAARGTAGCCAATCCCCCMAAATCAAATGCCGAATGTATTCTCTGATGTAAGGAGGCTGATTCATAGTGGGGTTGGGAGGGGGAGCATGGAGTATTAGATGAACTCTAAATAGGGCAAAAGGGTGGAAGGGGAAAGGAAGGAGATAGGGGTAGAAAAGATGGTGGAATGAGATGAACAGCATTACCCTAAGTACATGTATGAAGWTGCAAATGGTGTGAATATACTTTATATAAAACCAGAGATATGAAAAATTGTGCTCTATATGTGTAATATGAATTGTAATGCATTCTACTGTCATATATATATATATATATATATATATATATAATTGGAATAAAACTAAATAAATTAATTAAAAATTAAAATAAAAATATAGATATCTCTTGTGCCAATTCTCTTAACAGTCTTTGCAAATAAAACTTCTGAGTTCTGAATTGACAAATCTCAGTCTTATCAAAGTATACCAATAATAGGTTCATCAGAACAAAGGATAACGTAGCACATTCTGAGATTTAGACAGGCTGATTTCTCTAGTAAATAATTTCTGGTTCTATTTCGCTTAAACTGTTCTTCTTTAAATCTATTTCTTTCTCTTACACTTTACAATAAGTAGCAGGCCATGTCTTTAACACGTACATAGAAATCTCCTTTACTAAATACTCAAGATCATTATTTCCACACATCTGGTACACAACTCAGCTACAATTTCTATCACTATATGTCAAGGATATCCTTTCCTTTAAATTTTCAGTAATGTTTTATTCATTTCCATCTGGGTCCTCACCACCAGTAGTTTTAACATCTATACTTCTACTAGCCATCTGTCAATGATGATTTATAGCTTATCTAAATGATACAGGGTTTCTCTTCTATGATTCTTCTGAGGCCTCACTAACAGGATTCACATCTACATTTCTCTAAAAWTTACTTTCAAGGAAATCAAGTCTTTTAAAAAGCTGGTTCTACAAAGTTCTAGCCTCTGCCATTGTCCAATTCCAAAGACACTTCCACACCTTTAGGTGCTTGTTACAGTAGCAYGTTCTTTCTCTAGTTGTTTCCTTAGTGCTTATTCCTTAATGGGTTACTCCAATGAGAACTTAAAAATGCACAAATTATCCTACAATTGTGGAAGTCACAAGTCTGAAATGAGTCTCACTAGACTGAAACCACAGTGATGGCAGGACTGCTTTCTTTTCTGGACACTAAAAGAGAAATAATTTTCTATCCGTATCCAGCTCCAAGAAGTGACACATGTTCCTGGAAAAGCCCCTTTTTATCCTTTAAGTCTGCAATTGCTGGTTCAGTTTTTTTCACTTGTGCCACTGACTATTTGACTCTGTGTTTCTTGCCTCCATCTTTATTTTTTAATGACCTTTCTGATAACATTGGCTGCACATCCAGATAATCTGAGATAACTTCCCCCTCTTTCAAGATTCACTGATTATCAATTCTAATTCCTCTGCATCCTTTCTTTCCTCCTTTATCACATAGTACATGGCACATTTGCAAGTTCTGAAAATTATGCCATCAGAGTCTTTGGAAGGTCATTATTCTGCCTGCTAACAAACACCACCCTTCTGTCAAAATGTAATGGACAATAGGTCTGTCACCATCAGAATCTCTTTAAGTTCAGATTTTTTTTCAGGAATGTATGTAATAAGACTTGAAATTTATGGATTGTAACCAAAATGGTCTGCTATTTCTAACTAAAACTTCATATTCCAAAAGAGACATTTTCAAGTGCTAGCATGGTCTTAGTTATTGCTAACCACAGTGTAAAATTTATCAAATAAGATGTGTGAAAAACAGACTGAAAATAGTAATACTAAGAGGATAAAGAAAAACAGTAATGAAGAGGTAGAAGTTTATCTTATATTTCATGTTTGGTAAGTCATCTCAAATTGGTAAATAATATAGTTAGTGGTTTGTTTACTAAAAAATAAAAAGATCTCTCTTGATCTCTCAGCTCCGCTAGGTTTATAAACTTATTATGGTCTGTGGAATCAGTAGAAATGAACCTGTTATTCACATTACTTTATCTGAACAGATACAGCAATAGTAACCTAGAAAAAATGTAGACAGTAGCTTTAAAATCCCTGGATTTAGAAAAAAAAAAAAAAACATTTTGACCTTGAGCATACCTAATGAATTGATTTCAGGTCAGTGCTTCTCAGACTTTAATATGAATAAGATGAATAAGAAGCCCCTGAGGATTGTGTTAAAGTAATATTCTCATTCAGTTGGTTTAAAGTGGTGCCCAAGTTTCTGAATTTCTAACAAGATGTCAAGTCATGTTTGTATGTTGCTAATATACAAAATACACCTGGAGTAGTGAGGGCTTAAATCACATCTTTGGTGCCATTGTCACTTTATCTGCAAGTGTGAAAATATTCTTATACATTTGAATATTTTTGCAGTGCAGTCAGTTGTAGGTACAGGAAGAACAAAGAATCTTGAAAAGAGACACAAACCTACTGGGCTTTTGAGCCAGACCCAACAAAGCCATAGGACAGGGGTTTTACATTGAATAATTAATTGCCCTTCTTAACATATGTGTCAASTAGTCATGATGACTTTTCTCTCTTTAGAAAGGCAAAGCTGGAAGGCTTTAACTACACATCAATCATGACAGACAAATGGCTCTGGAAGAAGATGCAGTGTTCAAGTATTCATTTATGCCCTCAGTAGTCTTCATTGAATCGGCATTACAAATCATGTTCATTAATTAGTCTGTGAAGATGATTTCCCTAATATCAAGGAAATTTAGTTCTTAAAGTACTCAGATTTTAATGCAGAATTTGGATGACCCATAAATTTTGGCATCAAAAAGGCAGAAATGAATGGGTGAATCGAATAGTATTCCAGAATGAAAGTGATAATGACCACAGTAGTGAGTGACAACAGGGGAAGATAACAATTCCAAAGAGTCTTTATACAAATCCATAACTCATAACAATTGTAAGACAAACTGTTCCTTTTTCTTGTTTTAATATCAGGGATTGAACTCAGGGGTGCTTAATCACTGAACCATATCCTTAGCCCCTTATTTACATTTTTATTTAGAGRCAGGGTCTTGCTAAGTTACTTAGGGCCTAACTAAATTGTGGAGGCTGGCTTTGAATGCATGATCCTCCTACCTCAGCCTCCTGAGCCGCTAGATTTATAGGAGTGAACCACCACGCCTGGTCTTGTGTACTTTTTATTTTTACCAAATGGTATCACTCTCTATWTGCTGAGGATCAGTGCCAAGCCTACCAATCTTGCACTCTTTGCTCAGGAGTTTCCCTGTGCTAGAAAACAAAACAAAACAAAAAAAAACAGCTTCTATTTAATCTTTTGCCAAATATGAGCAAATCTTCAGCATTAATGTTAATGCTAGTCCTTTGGAAACTATTTCCCCTCTCTGAAGATAGTTAGCTCATCTTCCTCTGATCATTCATATAATTTAACTTACTTAATAACATGATGATCCCTTTTATTTATGAATGTAATTCTTTATAATTTTCCTTTTAGGTCTTAAGTTTGTATTCCTCTAGATATGAATGGTCTACTGATCTAAGAAAGCATCATGGATTAAAGGTAAAGGAAGTTTCTGAGATGGCAGAAAACAAATAAAAAACAAACAAACAAAAATGCAGCCTGACAACTCTGAAATTTTGCCTGGTTCTAAAGCAAAAGTTTCTTCAGCTACCTGCTTTTGCATTGCTTTTAAAGCCTGTTCCTAACTTACTTAAATCCTTTTATTGTTTGATTCTGACTGATGTTTGCTATGGGGTGAGCATAGTAATCAAGACTAGGAGAAAACTGTATAAATGCCAAGAGCCTAAACCAGGACCAACTAAATGACAGACTTGGGAAGCTCACAGAGGAGAAGGTAAACATGAACAATCTGTCTCATGGTTCCAAGGTTTGAAAACAGATYCCAAAGAGATCAGGATCAACTGTGACTTTACAATGAATAGCACCATTTTTTTTTTGTCAGAAAGGCAACTAATAAAAACATCCATAATAATAAAACAAATATGTGTGTATGTATGTATATATATGTGATATATATATAATATAATTAAATGTATTGAACCCAGCAGAAGCAGGACCTTCTCAAAAGAAGAAAAAATTTCTCCAAAGATACCAAAGTTTTGCACTATAGAATCACATTCACAAAGAAGTMTGTTGGCTTCAAACTTGAAAACCAGGACAAGAAAACCATCCAAGTATGTATCAACTTCCCAGCAGAAATGRTGGAATTTTTAATTATGGAAAAGTACAATATTTCCGGACCAGTGCATAGTGGAGGAAATGTTTTTGTTTTTGTTTTTTAAGCGTGCCAAATGTTCCTGGAGCTCCCTCCCTCTTTTCCCCTTCTTTTCTCCTGTCTTTGGAGTCAGTCTCCCCAGGGTGATTTCTAGGATGGCGATTGGGCGGCTGCAGAGACCAGGACTCAGTTCCCCTGCCCTAGTCTGAGAATAGTGGGTGGGACTCAGCGCAGAGTCAAACCACCATCGGGTTCCTAGGCAGAGTTTTTCTGCACTTTTCCTGCACTAGATCCTGAGGCAAAAACCAGCGAGCAGCCTGGGAAGGAACTCCTGGCAAAGGACACCTGGGAGGGAGTGTGTGCTGCCTGCGACTGAGTGACCCAGGTTTTGCGTGACTTCACCATGGTGGGTTTGGGCCCCCTCTTTTTCTTTTGAGGTCCTGTTGTGCAGAGAAAGAGAGGAGGCGGGGCAAGGTCTCAAAAGAAATAGAATGCTGTAGGGAAAAGAACCGCTAGGGATCCTTTGGGGTCAACAAAGAGAGCTACAGAGCGACATGGGGGAAAGCAAAGGCGAGAGCGGGTTGTTTTAGAGCAACGTGAACCACCGTGTCTGCGGGACACGTCGCGTCCCKCCCAGCCTGTTGAGCAGGTTGAAGAAGTGAGTCCGAGCCTGAGCGCCGCGGCTGTTTGTGCGGTGCGTGCCCTCGCGCGGGGACTGACAGGTGCCATTGCAGGGACCCTCTGGCACCCACTGCCTCCCGCCTCTRACGCTCTTTTTCTCCGTTCACAGTGCGGATTTGCAAGGCGCGCCCCAGAGCTCCAGCAGATTTGGAAACACGGTCCCCAGGTCTGGGAAAYCGCTAAGTAAGTGGTCGCGGGATTAACCCTGGGGGGTCGAGGCTTCGCGGGGAGGCTGCGGGTCTCCAGAGCCTCTGGCCTGGGCTCTTCCTTCTTCCCTTCCTGGGAAGATTTCCTTGCGTTCCCAGCTGCCCAGCCCCAGGGAGCCCGGGCCCCGTTCYCACGCTGGGGAGGAGCAAGGACGCAAAGGAGACGACGCCCGRGTGTCCGGCTCAGGGCCCCGGGGACCCGCGGCGCCCGAGGGAGGAGCAGTGACCGGGTGGGCGCGTGGCCGCGTCGGCGGCTGCGCTGGCGGGGCCGGGCCGTGAGAACGTGCGGAGCGCGCCAGGCAGCTGCTCTCCCACAGCCAGGGCGCCAGGCGGCTGAGCCATCCCGAGCCGCGGAACTCCCCGGCCTCCCGCTCCACGGGCKACCCCTAACAGCAGAGGGGCTTCTTCTGGACCTTAGAGCCCGCCGGGGCTGGGGACCGCGCTTGGGTTTCCCTTGGAGCCTGCAGGCTGCAGGGTGGGTAAGCGATTCGCCTTGCTCCTGGGCTGCATTCTGTGGTCATTGCATTGCCTCCAGAAAGCAGCCAGCAAACTTCCAAAGGGTTGCTCAAGGGCTCCACCAAAGTGTGTGTGTGTGTGTGTGTGTGTGTGTGTGTGTGTGTGTGTGTTTTACTGTCTCATTTCTGTTTTATTACGAAGGTGACACTGGAAAACGGTGGGCAGGGGGTCACCATCAACACTGCCTCTGTCTGTGTGGGCAGCCTGTACAGGATCTGCTGTGACATTTGTGTGAAGGGTCTGGCTTCTAATGTGGTCATGTGATTTCAGAGTATGGATWTCATGCATCTTTCCTGTGCTCACTGGTTTTCACATGGCTGTTCCTTTATTTTACCTTTGATAAACATTTTACATCTTCTGAAACCAGAATATTGTACAACTTATGATGAGATGACTAGTTGGAGGTATCTTGGTTCTTAAGGTATTAAAACCCACTGAATTTTAAAGAGGRAAGATTTTGTTTTTCTCTTGAACTTCATTTATAGTGCATCCTTAGTGACTTTTTCTTAGGGATCAATCTTCCAATAGTGATTTCATTAAATGTCTATCTACTTTATTAGAACTGGTCCTGGTATAAATATTGTTAGCATTTTCTTTACACACGGGTAAGTGTTGAAGCATGTGATGATAGTGATTTTTATATCTTGGTTCATAATGGAAAAATAATCTGTTGCTTTTTCTAAAATGGCTATATATATGCACATATATTTTTTTTCAGGAGTCATCACTTTATTTAACAGTGGTAGAAATCATGATAGGAACAATGGAACTCTAGCAGTGTCTACAATTCCAAAGCAAAACTTAATTTGTCCAAAAGCCATCTCAGCTATATTACTTTCTCCGTRCAGGTTGAGTTTCTTTGCTTTGTTCAGTTATTAGACATCTGGGTCTATGGATCTATTTCAAGCGGTCATGGAGTATTGGAAATTGTTCTCAAACATTTGAGTTGCTGTATTTTTAGAGAGATAGCACTAATTCCCAAAGGGAATTGTGACCCATTAGAAAAATAAGAAGCCTGAAGTTCAATCAGGAARGCCATGCTGCTTCTTGTCAAAACAACAGACTTTACATAAAGATTGTGGTGGTAGACTAGTAGGAAAGAGTAAATGTTTCACATAAGATAGACTCATTTGTAAGTTTTAAAATACATCAGCAAACTTATTTCTGTTAACTTTATTAAGTAGGAATTTGTAATGAGGAAATGGGCATCTYCTGTTCCTTCTTGTACTGTAGGATCTTTCTAGTATATGTGGAAAATAAAAATGTTTTTCTCTCAAAATCCACCTGAATTCTAAAGTCCTCAGTTTGRTATGGTGCTTCATACTGCAAGAAAACTGAACAAGCCCTTAAAGATATTCTTTCTAGGTGTTCAGGTATAAAATAACATATATGAGAGAGTTTTCTGCATTTGAGGAAAAGGCAGGAAACAAACTACTTTCTTTCTCTCTGGCAGCACACACACACAAATAAGTGTGGAAACTTCTCAATGCTCTGTATTTTTATCTCATAAATATTCTTATTAGATGATTTTGTTTTAAAACATTTTGAAAAGTTGTTATAATTAATATGCTTCAGCATAAACGTAAGTGATAACATTACAATAAAATTTTAAGAATAATACATCAATAATATTTTCTGTATTTACTTTCAAGAATTTTGTCAGATTTTTTTCAAAAAAACATCAAAACATTTACACATTCAGCTAACATCACTTATTGACACATTAAGGTATTATAAAATCTTGAATTTTGTCAGAAATAAAATTCAAAATAATTCACATTGAAAATAATACAAAAACAATCAAGGAGCTGGGGTGGTGGCTCAGTGGTAGAGCGCTTGCCTTGCACATGGGAGGCACTGAGTTCGATCCCCAGCAGACATAAAACTAAATAAACAAAATGAAGATATTGTGTCCATCTACAACTTACGAAAAAAAATTAAATATTAATATTAAAAATATTTTTGTATTTACATTTTTTAACAATTTAATGACTGTGTGTGAGAGTAGAATATTCTTTCCTTTTTACAAGTTGGTTTAAGATAATATAGTAATATGGTATGTTACCCCAAAATCCCTGATTAATATTTCTTTAGAAGTAGATATCAAATTAGGTTAAGAATTAATCTCATAAGAGGAAATTGAAAGATAAAGCAGTATTTAGACAAAACATACTGACAAGTATGTTATTGATGGGGAAAAAATGTGATTCAGAACAACTTTCAACATGTCACTTTCACTAGGAAGTGGCTTGGCTTTTATTTACTAAGATATTTAATTTTATGGCACTGTTTTTATCCCACTCAATTAGAAATATTTATCCAAGCAACTTTCCTTAAACATTCCTATTTATTACTTTCCTGTGCCTTTGTAGAAACAAATACTTTCCCTTCTAAAGCATCAGTAATTGCAAAAGTTTTTGTTTCTAGGCCTCTGGATTTCTTCTGTGTCAAGTGCCCTGTAATAGTTTCTTTGAGTGTCTCCATATCGACTTGATACAAGAAGAAACTTGGCAATCTTTAGTTCTTTTGTTGAATCAATTTATCTGCCTATAAACCATTTAAAAAAAAAACTCATTGCTGGTGTAATCTTTTGGTCATCCTGAGTCACATATAATTCTTCTATTTTCTTTCAAAACAGTTTTGAACTAATGCACCTATTTCATATTTTTTCCCCTCTTGCCTGAGTCCAGGTTAGCAGGCTTCGTTTTACTATACCTGGGGGTAGGAGCTTATAGAAGCAAAGAATTATTTGGGTTCTCCCTCAGYCCCAGCCCACGTGAGGAAGAATACTACTTTTTAAACTTGAGTGGCTCTTGGGGCATGATTTCCTTTGCCTCAAAAAATGTGACTCTCACTGCTTGTAGTTGTAACTTCTTTTACCTGGCCTGCCCTCTGGCCATTAATAATCTTTTATGAACAGAACCCCTCCCTTTTATGAAACTGAAGCCAACTCAAATTAATTAATTCACATACCAACTCCTCTGTCTCACATGGTAAGAATTAGCAGGAAGTCAACACAAGACAATGGTACGAGCAGTGAACACCCTGGGGAAGGGAAGTCAGGCCAGCTCACTACTTAATCCTGAATTTTATTTTATTTTTTTTCTAGATCCAACTGATCTTTATATTCTCTCTTGTTATACCACAGTATATTGAAAATACTTTTTAAAAATGTCTTAATTTCCTACCAAACTCAAATTTGCCTCAGGATGACCATCCTTGGATTCACAGTGCTCAAAGAGTTCCATACTAAGTAACTCATGAGCTGAATGCACTCCTCATCATTATTTAATTAAGAATTTTTGTGTCTTAATGCTACAAGTAATTTTGTTCAGGAATACAATGTAAAGCACAGCATTTGTTTTGTGAGGACCTCACATAGAATATTATGGCCTTGGTCATGCAGAGACCCTTCTACATGCTTTGCAGTCTGTTAACTGCTTGTAAACCCACGGGCATTTTGTCACCACCCCTTGATTACTCTTTTCCTTTCTGAGTTWAGACCTTTCACTATTTTACTTTCTCCTCTTTGCCAGTGTGTATTGGCCTCTGAAACTTTCCACCTTCCTAGAGATCTAAAATAACCAAGGTTTTTCTACCTACACTGATCTGCTAGCATTTTCAGGATTCCATGCAGCAACTAGGTKTTTGATTTTGACTCCTTTGACTTTGACCTTAACTTGCTCTGCTTCCCTCTGGGGACCCTCTAACACACCCCAATCCCTGGGTCTTCTCATCATTTAATATTTCCCCAATTGAAAAATCTGAGCGTTCTGACCACAACCACCTATCCTTCCAAAAATTTTCCTCACTTGTCACCACCTACCACCTTCCTCTCATTTTTGCTTCCTGGAAAACTTTTATTGTTCTAATGTTTTCCTCTCATTATCACATGCATCTTGGAATAGCAATTTTAACTCTGCTCTAATCCTCAAATCTCTTCCAAGTAAACCTATCAGAACCTGCCTTCTAAATCTCAGCTTCAATTTAATGTCTGCTTTRCCTTCCTTGCTGTGGATTTAGCTGGACGAAGTATGTGACTGTATCTTTTGTTCAACTACAAACTAATTCACTCCAATTTCAGTTTAAGGGAAGATTAACAGTACTATGAAATTATTTTATTCTTTCCTGGTTAATTGTTCATCAGATGTCCATAGTGAGTATTCTGGATTTTTAGAGGTTTTTTTTTAGTTTACTCCAGTTATTCTCAATCTTCGTTAGAGTAGGAAACCATATTCCCTAATTCACAGAGACTGTTAAGGTAAATTTGGACAAATTTGGAAATGTTTTTGGCCAGTTCTKAGTATAAGAACTATTTTCCTAAATTGAGTTATAATATTTATCTCCATAATATTCACATCCTACTTTTACCACTTTTAGTACTCATTCAGAAGTATTTTTCATATAGCAATGCTCAGACAATATTTAATTCTTTGAAACCATTCTTACTTAGTATGAGTT